ATTATTATTATTATTATTATTATTATTATTATTATTATTATTATTATATTTTTAAAGGGGATATGGCTTACTAGATGCAACTGGCCCTTAAGATTTATTTTTTCTGCCAAAGTTATCCATTTTTCTCATTACTTTACCCACACAATACCTCTTTTTAAGTTCTTTGCAACAGCTTCCTGTCCATTCCCAAATCTAGCGCAAGCTTCTCAAAGTCCACTAAAAAAAGCCAGAGGCCCCTTTAAATGGGAGCTACACATACAAGTGCAGGCTAGGTTAAATAAATAAATAAAAGCTTCAGTGATGGATCCTGTGATTCTCACTTGTCTGGCTCTTATCAGGTTCCATCATCTCAAAGCCTTCTTGTTTCCTGAAATAACCCACTTCCCTCCCCCCCCCTTTCTCCCCCTCTTCCCATCTGAAGTTGTCCCTCCAAGCTGTTTTTCTTACTTTTATTCCCTTTTCAAAGCTAGCTTTATCTGGGAAACTTCTCAAGTAACCCTAGAGTGCATGCATTTTTGTCATTTCGCCAAAGCAACTGCAATTAAAACAATGGTAGGCCTCTCAAAGGGAAGACCTATTAAACCCAGTCCTGCACAGCGCTAATTAGGAAGGTGGACCTGGGTCTGAAATTATGCACTACCAAGGAACCAACACAGCCCCCCACCCTTTCACACACACCCCAAAGGGACCGCATGAATTCCTACAGAGTAGAATTGTGTGAGGACTCTGCAGTACAGAATAACAGAACTGGGCACTGCTAATGAAAGCAGGGTGTGAGAGCCAGAAGGTGGTTGGGCTATATGAGAATCTAAGCAGGGTTTCATAATAGACTAAGTAATTGCAACCAAAGCAAGGGATGAAGCAATGGCAATTAAATAAGAGATATTACTTTGTGAAATAGTTAAATTCACTAACTGAACAATAAAAGAATAACTGAAAGTCACACACCCACACGCAGACAAATTTCAGAAACAAGTTTGAAGTATACCTAAGGTCTGATTCCAAGTCCATATGGCTTCTTTCTAAGTAAAATGAATCTGGACCAGTTAGAAAAGGAATGAATTTCTCCAAATTTTCTTCTGGGCACAACTGACCTAACTAAGAAAGAAAATGTTGGCTGTTATTATTGGTATTGTACTGTATTGCTGTCAGCTGCTGCTCAGAAACCAGCAGCCTGTGAATTGATTACTTAAAATATTCAGTACCAAACTGACGTACAGCATGCAAAAAGCAATCTTTTTTTTTTTTTAAAGCTGTGGAAGATACATTGTATATACATGCTTCCAAATGTACCTTAAAAACAAAAAATGTACAAAATCATTTTACCTTTGAAATGAAATCGGTCACTTCGGCAGAAGACTTTGTTACCACGGTCACTGAGGAATCGGACCATAAGACCTAAGGAAGCGAGAAAGAAACCCTCTGGTCTTCGCCTTCATCAAGCCACTTTAGAATGGACAGGGCTGCGCTAGGTACAGTGGGGCAATTCTGCCTGCATTTCTGACGGTTACAGTCTTTTCCCCAAAGTGGATTTAAACCAGGGCTGTCCAACCTTGGCCCCTTGAAGCCTGGCGGACTTCAACTCCCAGAATTCCCCAGCCAGCAAAGCTGGCTGG